ATCGATCAGCATACCTCGCCGGTCAAACTGGAAGCTATCATGTAGCGATCATCGGCGAACAGCGTGATCGAGCAACAAAAAGTCTGAGGAAGCGTGTAGACTGCACGATTGCATAGTCGTCGCAAATCAGAACAAATGATGTCTGATCCTCGCAGGCCCATGAAGATCAGATCGCCATTCTAGAAAAACATCAGGCTTGGGTTAGACAACGAGTCACCATGAAAAAAATACATAAACAGCTCAGCCAAGCAAACCTTGGAGAATCTGGGTGCCAGTACATGACGATTTTTGCTCCACAGTTTAAAGCCAGAGCCATTCAGCACCTCGAGGATCATTCCATACTTCTCCATGCCGAGGCACATCCGCATGCGGTTCGTGTCCCAGGTACAAGAAAACGCACTCTCGTTCATACCCCAGTGTGCGTTGTACATCGCCGAGTTCAGATACTCCGGATTAGTCACAGAACACAGCTCAGGAATCGGTTGAAGGAACACACGGCTACCTAGAAATATACCATATTTTCATCGTCGTTAAATGTTGAAACCGAAGCACATTACTTTTCGCCTTTTCTGTATACTAACACAGGGGGCGGTAAAGGAGTTTTCGTAGGTCCACTAATACGTAAGGTTTGAATTTAGAAAAAAATCCACTCAATGCAAATTCCTCTGAGTATGGAATTTACCTAAAGTTGCTTCGATGCAACCGGTTGACTAACCGGCAGCAAACTTTGACTGTGTCTTTCGAACAACAGAAAGGTCATATCATGCTGTTTTGGTGCTATTGTAGCACAATGGGCAAAAACAACGTCTGTTCTTTCATATGGTAGTGCTTCTTAGGGCTATAATCAATCTTAATCTATCTGATAACTGACCATGGAGTGCGACAATCAACAAATAATGAAATCCCTCTTATTGTTCTATTTGGGAATGAAGGTTTAATATCTTGTTCAAGGCGAAAATTGCTTTGTTTCGTGCTACGTACGATACGAACGGAAGATGAAGGGCTGCTGGAAAACCGAAGGGGGAAAGGGGCAATGTTCCATGGATGGCATCTCATTATAAATAAAGCATATATTGTCTCAGTGGAATAGTCAAGACCTCGAGATCTAGAATGCTGCCCCTGCCAAAACTTGTAATATTATGATGCCATATTTCTTAACAAAGGATGAGTCTAGCAAGATTTTGTAGCATTTCTCACACTGTCTAATAAACTGCGCTACAGGAAACACTGCAAGCATTCATAAACACACTCTTAATAACCAATCCCTTCGCATAAGGAAGAAAATTCTTCGAAGAAAGTTTACGTTGAACAGTTGTTGCTTGACTCGTGACATTGCCACCGTCATCGAGGAGTGCTCAACTGAACTGCTTAAATGCATTCGCATTTACAGGCTTAGAGAAACAACCACCACACAGTAAGCTTGATGACGTCATTGATGCATTATACAGGAATTCTGTTCGTAAGTTCAACTGATTCAGTTAAATTTAAGATATTTCTTGAATCTAGCCATTTTTAGGCCAGAAGATTTCCTTCTGAACCTTTCACTGCTCGAATCATACCATATCCTAACTGACGTAAACAACGGACAGTCTAACTGGAAGAGTGTTTGCTGACCAGTAGTCATAAGTCAGTTTTCTCTCTGAAAGATTTCCAAACTATTGT